ACTATATATATATATATATATATATATATATATATATATTAAAGACATTTTCTTTTATTTTATGTTTAACATTCTTTTTATAGATACAAGTATTTAAGAAAATGCTCTGTTTATAATAAACAGTATTAAATAACATTTACCGGCCTGAATGTCCGAGAAATTTTCATAGAAAATATTCGTCCTTTGACAGGATTCGAACCTGCATCCTATACGGAACCGTCATTTACGCTAACGTGCCTTAACCGACGGCCAAAAAGGAGCGTTCGGTAGGCAAGGTCGAATTTACTGCTTATAAACTTCAATCTTCCATGAATCTCGTACATTCATAACTGCTCATGGCGTATCAAATGTAAACACGTCATACATTAAGAATTGGACAAAGTCCGACAATTTATTAAAGACATTTTTTTTTTATGTTTAACATTCTTTTTATAGATAAAGTTTTTAAGTAAATGCTCTGTTTATAATAAACAGTATTAAATAACATTTACCGGCCTGAATGTCCGAGAAATTTTCATAGAATATATATATATATATATATATATATATATATATATATATATATATATATGTGTGTGTGTGTGTATAGGTGTGTGTATGTGAAGTGTGTGAATATAGTTTTAAGGTGTGCTATATTTATGGGATAAAGTGCTCAATAACAGACATAGACCGTATGCAAATATAAATATAAAAGTGAAAATTGAAATCAACACCAGAGGCGACAGGCTGTTTCATGTTAGACGCAATCGTCAGGCCAGGCCAGGCCGACGATTGCGCCTAGCATGAAACAGTCTGTCGCCTCTGAGTATTGATTCAATATTCACTTATACACACACACACACACACACACACACACACACACACACACACACACACACACACACACACACACATATATATATATATATATATATATATATATATATATAAAAAAGGCTTAAACACTAATATTCCATGGTCATAATTTAGCCCATTGGAATCGTAAATACGATCCAATTTATCAGACCTACAAATTCAAAAAGAAACCAGAAAAAACAACCCCGGAGATAAAAACAGAATTTAGAGAGAGTGTCTATGGAATATTAGTGTTTAAGCCTTTTTATTATATCCTTACTCTGTCCTAGACATTGAGTTCTACCTGGATTCTATCCTCTTGGAATTTTTTTTACATGTATGTGTATATTTACCACTAATATTATCTATCTATCTATCTATCTATCTATCTATCTATCTATCTATCTATATAACGAAGCCAGAAGTCATCGTGATCGATAATTGCAGCATATTGGTTTTGATGAAATGATGATCACGCTAAATTATGCTTTCTTTCCAAGATTGTAAGTTCTGTTTGGCATCGTTTTATTCTGTGGCTGTTGGAAAAAGAATTATTAATAATGCGCCTAAGCAATTGTCTGCAACGGGTATTAGCCAACCAGAATTTTCTGACACAACCGGTTCTAGGGTTTTCAGCGAATGATCCACTGAACGACAATTCGTGTGCAGAGATACCCATTTGATGAAAGAATTCAGAAGAGAATAGAGAGTCTTGTTCAAGGTGATAGTTAATAATAGATCAAAAAGCCACTGCTTACAACGGAAGTATCCAGAAGAACGTCTTTGGGTGCACAACACGTTGAACCTTGTAGTTGGGTCACAGCAGCAGGAGACAACACCGGGCGTCACTCCTGTCAGATTAGAACAAGAAACTGAAATTACAATTCGCTAAGGATCACAAAGACTTGGAAACAGAAGTCAGGAAAAACATTTCCTGGTCTGATGAGTCTTGAATTCTGCTGCAAGATTCGAATGGTAAGAACAGAATTTAGATAAACAACAATAAAAGTATGAAACCATCCTGCCTTGTAACTGTTCAGGCTGGTAATGATGGTATAATGGCAAGAGAAATATGTTCTTCGTATATATTGGAATACCAATAAAAGATACTATGACCACAGTGGAGCATACATCGGCCGAAACGTTGTGAATATAGCAAAAAAAGATGAGGACAGATAGTCCGAACAATGTAAATAGTGTAAATAATTGCAATAGCTCATCTCAGAAATATAGACAGATACTGAAGAAGTTTGGAGCGTACAAAAGAAAACCGTCGTGAATATGGCAACAAAGATGAGGACAACTGTCCGGACGATGTGAATAGTATAAATAATTGCAATACCTCATCTCAGAAATATGGGCAGATACTGAAGAGGTTTGAAGCCTACACCAGCCGAAACGTCGTGAATATGACAATAAAGATGAGGACAACATCGAACCATATAAATAGTATAAGTCATTGCAATACCTCATCTCAGAAATATAGGCAGATACTGAAGAAGGCTGGAGCGTACAACAGCTGAAACGTTGTGAATATGGTAGTAAAGATGAGGACAACAGTCCGAAAAATGTAAATAGTGTAAATATTTGCAATACCTGATCTCAGAAATATAGGCAGATATTCATAAACTAAGCTAAAACCTTTCATCATCACTGAACCGACCTGAATTTTCGACACTCCTTTACTTAAAGCTTTTGCTTTGAAAGCCTGTTAGGGGTCAAGTTCACCACAAATTTCAAGTGGAGCATATCTATACAATACATTGCTAAAGATGCTGGAAGAATTTTCTGTTTCTTTGTACCACTCCCAAAAGTATCTGACTCCCTCTGCAATACAAGAGTAAGACCAGACCAAAAAGGAACTATTGTTGTCATATATTGGCTGAAGTTGCCTAATACTCACTTTCTAGGCTTGAGAGAATTCAAAAGCGTAAAAACAGCCTTGTGGGTGATTAAATATTTTCTACCCTACAACCTCTTTTACACTGACAAAAAATCACAACGTTCTTCTTAGACTACCGCTATATCCATGGCAATGGTTCAAACGAGCACCTTTATTTAATATCGGCGTATCAAATCTTTTTAACCATAGAGTATTTCTGCCACATCTGGGCCGGAGCAGCTCAATCCTCGCTTTCCAGCCTCGACCGTGATCAAAATCGTTTGCGAGTCCTTTTGGGTGATGAATTATTCTCCACACATCAACTCTTTTCGCACAAACAAAATATTGCTAGCGAGTCGCTGTTCTGTCTCTATGCGAGATGTTCGTGTGATCTACATTCCTCAGGTCCACTAGTTCAGGAGTTCATTGCTATGGCATGCCATGCTACGTAAACTGAGTTGATTCATTTAGATTCCCTTCATATTCCATTTGTAAAGACTAACTTACATTCAGACAGCTTCTTCCCTACAACTGATGCAATGTGGAATGGACTCCTGAAGGGATGCTTTCGTGATCCTTACAACTTGACAACTTCAAGTCAACCCTATATGTCTTCCTAAGAGACAAACGTTGGTTCCATCTTATACGCCCTTACAACACCCACCATTCATTACCTTCTAATTTGTGTGGAACTTAGGTCTTGTATTGTTTGAATAATAATATTAAGGAATACCCATCTTGCTACATTCACGCGGTGGAATCTCTCTCATTCCTTAAGTGACTTAATTATAAGAAAGCTTCTGACAAGAACTGCTAATTTGTGGAATAAACTCCCGGCTGAATATTTCCCAGCATACTACTGTCTTCACCTCCTGGTGAATCTTTAAGTATACTATATCTTATAACCTTCATTCCTACTTCCTCGTCTTACGTTCAGAGCACATGACCCATTCAGTAACACTCTACCTGCATATTGCGTGTTCGGCTCTATATTCACACAGAATCCTTAAGTAGCTTATTCACAGTTTCTTTCTGTTTCTCTTGATATCCTGATCTTTGGTAAGCGTTGAACTCTTCAAAACTTCTTACTTTAATCTTTCTCTGTATGTACATCATTCTTTGAGATTATAGGCGATTATGGCTCTCAAATACTTCCTGACTTTTGTTGATTTTATCATCATCTTTGTTTTTTTGTTCCTACATCCATTCATACAAATCAAAAGAGTTATGCCCCTTTTCCTTTGCATATCTTGAATTTAATACAAACTGTGAAAGTTAAATTCTCTAAGTCAACTTTTTAAGTTATGTCACACGCAGCTATTGTTAATAGCAGTTTAAAACATATAGTTCATAGCATTCATAAAGTGGGTTGGCAAAAAAACCTCTTTGTCTTCGAGAAAATTAGATTATCCATAATTTATGGTTATATAGTAATCATCATAATATATATATATATATATATATATATATATATATATATATATATATATATATAGAGAGAGAGAGAGAGAGAGAGAGAGAGATAGATAGATAGATAGATAGATAGATAGATAGAAAGAAAGACATGAAGAGATAGATAGATAGACAGGTAGATAGAGAGATAGATATATAGAGATAGATAGATATATGGATAGATAGATATGATCAGTTATATATATATATATATATATATATATATATATTCATGAATTATTCATACAAAAAACAAATACAAAGGTTAATAATTTAATTGGCGAGAAATCCATATTCGCGAACAATTCAAATAATATACAAAAACCTGTTTATGCATGAAAAGATCCTTCTTTTATAAATTTCAGTTGCATAAGTTCTTATTATTTTTACAAGCTTTCGTCTGTTCCTACAGACATCCTCAGGTATGGAATAGATTTTGTTCTTGTTTTTACTCTCAGTAATAAGAGGACAACGAAAATAGATGTATTGTAATCCGAAAAATGCTATGAGAAATGTGTTATTGTTTTGGAGCGTGCAGTCACAACGCTGAATTTGAATTTAAATTTTAAGGTTGTGCGTTCTTGTAGAAATATAGTGATAAGAGAATTCTTTTTTACTGGTAAATTTTCCGTCAAAGTGGCATGAACTATATTGTTCAATAATTACAGTAATGTCGCACTTATTATCCGAAAGTTGCACTTGGATCAGTTATTTTAATTTCAATAAAGGTGCAATAATAAGAACTTCATGAATTTGTAAATTAATTGCACCTTTATTGAAATTAATATATATATATATATATATATATATATATATATATATATATATGTAGTTAAAAAAGATAGGTAGATAGATAAAATATAGATAAATAGGTAAATAAGAACATATAGATAAATATAAAGAACATATAAATAAATATAGATAGATACATGTAAATAGAGATATGAACAGATTGAGAGATAGATTGATATGAACATAGATATATAGACTGATACATACATACATACAGATAGATAGATAGATAGATAGATAGATAGATAGATAGATAGATAGATAGATAATGAACAGGTTGAGTTAGATAGATGTAGAGAAAGTTAGGTATGAACATACACTGACAGATATGAAATGAGAGATAGATTTACCGATAGTTAGGTATGAAGAATTATTAACATAAATAAAAATGAATACAATACATCATCATATTAAATTACTATATCGTAATCAAATGCATTTCAACTATAAACAGAAAGAAAAAATTCTAAAAATCCATAAACACTAATATATCTACCACTGATCCAAGTAAAAAAAAAAGACTAAAATGAGTTATATCCTTTACTAAATTGTCCAAAACAAATCTTTTCCTCCTGCTAGCATCTTGTAAAAGGCTAACATTGTATATCAATTTAAATGTCCTTTAGGATATTATATCATTTATAATAATGTCAATACGTACATTGGCTTTACTGCGATGATACTAACAAAAAGACGTACATTTTATTTGGCTGAACATAGTTCAATATATCAGCACTTAAAAGAGCACTTATAGACACACTCGCAGATTAGACGGATATTAGTTGAAAATACATCTATATTACATAAAATCAATAACAAACAAAAATTAAAAATCCTTGAATCACTTTATATAAGAGAGATAAAAGCCAAAATAAATAAAGTCATCTATGAATATAGCAAGAAAGTCCTTCAATGTTTATGAAAAAATTATTAGACGCGTATGAACAAAAAAAAAGTTACTCCTCTTACACTGAAAAAAAAAAGCCCAAAAGAACACGTGAACTTTGAACATTGAAATCTAGAACGCTGCATAAGCAGTAAATAAAAACGAACACTTGAAATGTTTTAAATTCAAAGAAACATGTATGCATATACGCAGACAACTTAAACCCCCGAAGATGGTTTCAGATAAGATTGAGAGTACTTAGAAAAATAAAAACTATTCGAAAGAGAATGTTGGTATTTTTCTTACTCAATTTTCTAAATCTAAATTTATTCTAAATAAGAGAAAAATAAAGTATAATTTTAAGGAAGTTTATATATATATATATATATATATATATATATATATATATATATATATATATATATATAGGTAAGAACTGATAGATATATAGATATAGATGATTGATATGAAAAGACAGACTGATTTGCGGAAACAGATGGATATATAGAGATATAGGAACAGATAGATAGATGCATAGATAAATGTGAAAAGACAGAGACAGACAGACCGACAGACAGACAGATAGATAGATAGATAGATAGATAGATAGATAGATAGATAATGAATCGACACAGTTAGATAGAGATAGATAGAGAGATAGACATGAACAGACTGAGATAGATAGACAGATAGATAGATAGATAGATATTATCAGACCGAGGCGGATTTGATAGATAGATATGAAGAGATAGATAGATAATGAATCGACAGAGTTAGTTAGATACAGAGATATATATAGAGATAGACATGAACAGACTGAAATAGATAGATAGATAGATAGATAGATAGATATGAACAGTTTCACATAGATAGATAGATAGATAGATAGATAGATAGATAGATAGATAGATAGATAGATAGATAGATATGAACAGAGATTGTTAGATACATAGATACATATGGACAAACTAATAGACAGTTGGGCATATATATATATATATATATATATATATATATATATATATATATATATATATATATATATATATATGCGTGTGTGTGTGTGTTTGTGTGTGTGTATATATATATCTTTGTGTGTTTATATATATATAATACTTAGAAAGATAGATAAAAATAGAAAAACAAATAGGCAGATAGAAACAGATAGATAGGAAATGTTAAATATATAGATACATAGTAAGAGAGATATGAAAATATTGAGATAGACAAATTGATTGATATGAATAGTCAGAGATAGAGAGATAAATAAAGCGATAGATAGATAGATCGATCGATAGAAAATAGGTTATGAATAGACTGAGATAGATAGATAGATAGATAGATAGATAGATAGATAGATATGAATGAGTAGATAGATATACACTGATAGATATATATATATTTGGAAAGAGGAAGATAGATAAATAGGTATGAACAGACTGAAATGCATAGAATGTTAGACAGATATATATGAACAGATAGATAGATATGAACATGTTGGAGATAGATATATATGAACATACTGAGATAGATAGATATGGAATGACAGATAGATATACAGATAGGTAAATAGATAGATAGACATGACTATGTCGGAGATAATAAGAGTGAGATATAAATATGAACATGCTAAGTTAGCTAGCTAGCTAGATAGATAGAGAGGCATACAAATAGATATGAAGAGATACATTGACAGACAGACATATAGATTTATACATATATAGGTGTGAATAGATCTTTCGATCAATCGATATACGGACAGATATAAATGTGAGTGTAGCTAGCTATCTAGATAGATAGGTAGGTAAATTGTGGGGTAGATAGATAGTGAGATTGACAGACAGAAAGACATGAACAGACCAGATAGATAGATAGATAGATAGATAGATAGATAGATAGATAGATAGATAGATAGATAATGAATACACTGTGATAGATAGATAGATAGATAGATAGATAGATAGATAGATAGATAGATAGATAGATAGATATAAACAGATATAGATAGATAGGTATGGACAGATTGGCATATATATATATATATATATATATATATATATATATATATATATAAAAATATGTTGTAGTGGTTCCAACGAGAGAAAAGTATGTATATTAAAAAGAAGAGAAGAGAGGTGCCGCAAACGTTTTTGGTTGTAATGTGGATTTATTTAGAAAAAAATATTATGCATTGTTTTACATAATTTTACGACACACGTTTCTGGTCTCGCGACCGTCTTCATGTAAAAGCGGAGATTTCCACATATTATTAAAAATAATTAATTTTTTCCTTGTGTTTTTCAATGTTAAATATTCTCGATATGAGACATTCTCTGTGTGTTGGTAACCCGAATTTCTTTCTTGAATTGGCAATGAAGAGTTCTGCGCGAAGGGTCATAAAACAATTAAGGTTGGTCCAGCGAGATGATAAATTAGTTATCGGCATTTTATCTTTTAATGTTTTACTGACCCCTATGTGCTCTTGGATCTGTTTCCATTTTTGTGTGTTTCTGTCAGCATGCGTGTATATATGCGTGCGTATATTCCCCATCCATACATATATTGTCTTACTACGAGGAATTAGTAAACTCATTTGTACATATACACGCACACACACACATACGCACATACACACTATCTCACCGCAAGGAATCAGTACACACACACACACACACACACACACACACACACACACACACCTTTTTCTCATGTTCTTTCACACTCAGTAACCCCTTGCGTTTTAGTAGCTTTATTGCCTTGCTTGGGGTGAAATTATTAAAAGAAAGGAATGCTATTTTAGCAATTCTTTAATTGCTATTCCTTTAACTGGTTTCTTTAATTATTTCGAGACTTCAGGTAATAATTAAGTTTCAGTGGGATTTCGTGTCCCGGGGGAGGGGGTGCTAGTCAAAATCACCAAAAGATATATCGTTTTCCCTGAGCCTAGGCTGCCGGTACGGCGTTTTAATTCTTTCTTAAACTTTGAAAATATACCCCGTGTCTTCGAAGATGGATATTGCATTGCTTAAAGAATTACCTCGGCAGAATTGCAAACTCCCACCAATATCTCACACTCAACCTCACTTGTTACATATTAACAGAACTTTCCCAAAGAAAGTAGCTCTCTCGTATCCCGGCATTCATCAGTCAGTCTCCACTCATGATCGTGGTATTCATGACAATAAAAAAGTGACTTTTTTGAAACAGAAAAAAGACAGGAGCAAATTAAATACATTGTAAGAAATAAATACGTTTTATTCTTTAGACTCTGAAATAGCTCTTATTGAAATCAATAAAAATTTATCTTCGACTAATATAATCCTATGAATAAATGTATAATGAATTCGCCTTCATTGAGTATATTTAAATATTGCTGAACTGTAATATCAGTCCTTCTATATGGCAGTGAATAGTGGACAATATCCTATCCTGACAGATAAAGAGGTGACTTGAAGAAACAAAAATGTGGTTCTACAGAAGGTGGCTAAGAATATCTTGGGCCCGAACATCTGTGCAACGACTTTTCGAAAAAAAATTAAACAACTGGAAAATTTGATGACAGGCAAGAGAAAAACAGCGTATAACCTATCTAGCGAGCTTCAGTAAATGGATGGCAGAAAAGGTTTTAGGAGTGCTAACAAAAAAAAAAAAATTATTAACAGCCACAAAGGCCAGGTAAATGTGGAGAGCCATGATCGTCAACGTTCTGAAGGGACATGGTACACAGAAGAACGGAGAATGTGTGCATCTTGGAAGCTACTGTATTTTCGACAACAGAAAATACGATTTTAAAGTCATATTCATCTGTGCTTTCGCGATTATATTATCTATCTGTATAATATAGGCGCATTTCATCTACACAAATAGATTTGTTTTAATAGTAACATTTGTATAAATTCGGTACAGTTAATAATCTCTTGCATCCTGAAAACCGAACATGCAAGATTATGTACTTAACTATCAGACACGATAGAACTGGAGCAGTAAATTACGAAAACTAATCAGAGAAGTAGATGTAAGGTCTGTGGGTAACAGAAAGAAAAAAGAAGCATAAACATTGTCTCCTTATACTGGGGTAAAATAAAGTCAGTAATAATATACATCTATAATTATTGCTTAATTCCTCTAAGAAAAAAGAAAACAGACTACGATACTTGAAGCCCGAACCCTGACTGTTACATCCACAGGATTGAATCATCTTCATTTCCTACCTATTTTGTTGCTGTTCCACTCAGAAAGCTTATTTCCAAGAACCGTTACTTTGTGGAACTCCCGCATGGATACTTCCCAGTTCACTAGAATCTTAACATCCTCAATTTGAGGACAAATCGCTATCTCACTTACCCTCGTTATCTTCACTGACTACATCCTTTACTAACGTTTATTTTGCACACCTCATTTATTAACCCTCTACCTTGAGTGACTCTATGGCATTGTATTGGATGAACTTCAGTAAGATAATAGTTTACGGTGTCATTATATTTATAAAGACAGAAGTAAATAATATATGATTTTCATTGTATTCCTATAGTAAGGCAATTTCCATTTAAATTCTACAGTAAGCTGATTTACTCAACATTACTATAATAAAGCATGTTTTACAGTAAATCAAATTATTAGGCATTTCTATAGTCAAGCAATTTCCATTGCCAATCTTTAGTAAAACAATTTGCAAGGCATTTTTATAGTAAATTAATTTGCATTATGCTCTATAGTGAAATCAATTTTCGTGCAATAATTTAGTGAAGAAATTTCCGATGCATTTTCGAACTTACTCTATGCTAATATGTATGATGTTTAGTCTGATATATATATATATATATATATATATATATATATATATATATATATGTGTGTGTGTGTGTGTGTGTGTGTGTGTGTGTGAATTAAGATATACATAAATAGCGCGCACACACACACACACACACACAAACATATATATATGTATGTATATATACGTGGGACTCTCCCGTCGTTTTATCGACACATTAGGGTCAAGCAACTCAGTTCGTAGGAACTGTCAAGCCAAATACCTGCGCGTATGATTTGATTATAGTGGTCAAGGCTTTGTGCAGAACGAACCACATTTTTGTAAGGACTGAATACAGAGACCTGATGCACTAAATACCATGAGGTCCCCCCAAACAACCCTCCGCAGGTTTTGAATTCAGAGTTGTCCTTCTCCTAGATCAGTTGCCATCCAAGGCTATAGAACCCACTCTGTCCTGCTATTTACCCATAGCTGGAGAGAGAAGAGGATTAATAGCTTTCACAAGGGAATTTGCACGTAAGAGAATGTAATGGATTCTACTCGAAATCGAACTCAGATAATAATAACACGCAACCTACATAAATACAAAATTTAAAAAAAATAATCAGTTTGTCTGATGATCGCGAAAGCGTGAAACCCAGGGTCACAAACTCGAAACAATCCAACATAATATATATATATATATATATATATATATATATATATATATATATATATATATAGAGAGAGAGAGAGAGAGAGAGAGAGATAAAACTAGTGAGCCAGACAAACCTACCCAGGTTTCACCTAAGCGGATCGTCAGGGGTTTGTCTGGCTCACTAGGTTTATCTAGGTCTGCTCTACGGTTGTATTGAGCTCTTTTGTTAGTTAGTTGTTTACTCGTGTCGGGATTTTTTCTTTGAACTTTGAACCTGTATCTGTGCGATTTTTTTCGACGGACTTTCATGTTTCTAGCTCTTTCTTTTTTAAAACCTTTTTTTTTCCTTCATGATTGATTTGATTATTGGCAAATCAAAAATTCGAAGGTTTTTCGAGACAGTATAGTTACCTATATATATATATATATATATATATATATATATATATATATATATATATATATATATATATATATATATATATATATATATAAATATATTATATATATATATATATATATATATATATATATATATATATATATATATATATATATATACACACACACACTACTGAGTCTACCGTCGTTTTATCGACATATGAGTGTCAAGCAGCTCAATTCTTAGGATCTGACAGCCAGACACCTGCACATATGATTTGATTATAATGGTGAAGGCTTTCTGTAGAACCCAAAACACCTTTTGAAGGGCTGAATACAAAGACCTGGTGCATTAACATGCCACAAGGTACCCAAAAACCTTTTTCAGGTTTTGAATTCAGAGTTGTCCTTCTCTTAGGTCAGTTGCCATCCAAGGCTATAGAACCCAGTCTGTCCTGCTATTTTACCCATAGCTGGAGGGGGAAGAGGATTCATACTTTTCCCAAGGGTATTAGAACGTAAATGAATATAATGGACTCGACTGGAATCCGAGCCGCTATCCATTATTTCACCGTATTTGGGCAGCAGTCGCTCTTTTATGTTGGTTAAATTGAAGACGACTGACAGGGCACTTGAATTAAGATTTAGATTATGTTTTTTTTAGCATTCATGCTACTGATTTTTTTTTGTAGATGGAGTGTGTAAAAACAACGCAGACATTTACTATTAATTTTTAATATTCTAAAGAAGCAATGGATATTTTATTTATTAATCTGACAGATTTTATCACTTTAAACGTTATTTTTTGTGGATGCCCATATTTAAGTAGACGTCATGTTTATTTATTAAACATTATATATATTTATTTTTACAAAGACGGTTCCCTTTTTACAGAGGGTGGGGGGCGCAAGCTCAAATCCTGCTGGAGAGCTCATGGTCTTCTTGAATAAGATTTTCAGTATTTCAATCAGATAGATGAAAAACAAATAAATATAATTTTTAATAAATAAGCTGTTCCTTTAACCAAATATGTCTATCCATTAAAAATAACGTTTAAAGTAATATATATTTTTTGGTTATTGGAATTTATTCCGTATACACCAATATATATATATATATATATATATATATATATATATATATATATATATATGTCAATGTGTGTGTGTGTGTGTGTGTGTGTGTGTGTGTGTGTGTGTGTGTGTATACATATTTCATTGAATACGACATACAAGGTGCTTTTACTTAGTTTTTTATACGATTTCTCATGCGATCTAATAATTTTTTTTCTTTTCAGATGATAAATTATACAAAAACTGTCCGAATATTCTTTTTTTATCCAAGCGCTTTCGGCTATACATTTAGCCATTTTCAAAGATGAAATATTTTAACAGTTAAATAAGAAATATAAATATAATAGCATCATCTACGTGCACAAAAAGGATAAAAATATTGAAAGCCTTATTAATAAAAACAAAAAAAAAAACAACGCTTAATAATATTAACTTTGAATATGAACACAATATCGTAACCGTGTTTTTAAAAAATGAAAACTTTTCATAAAACAAACTATTTCTATGGAATGTGTATGAAAGAAGGATTGCTGCCTAAATATATATATATATATATATATATATATATATATATATATATATGTACAGAGAGAGAGAGAGAGAGAGAGAGAGAGAGAGAGAGAGAGAGAGACGCACATAATTTATTGATTTGTACAAGTGCGTATATCTTCATGTTTAGGCATACAGTTTCATATATACATTCAGACGCACTATCAATTTTCCGGGATTTTTTGATACATTGATGGACTTGAATTATCCGTCTTGACGTGTTAAGCAAGATCAAGCAATATTTTCTTCTCTGTTCTATAAATTATTTTTAAGCATTAGTACAGCTAAGTTCCTAAACATAAAGTATTCAACTATATGTCATATTAAATATTTAGAAAAATCCCTCGACAGGCTTTCCAGAATTTATCTCATAAAAAGCGACATTCACTTAGCGACATTCACTCAGTGTTTATAAAATCTTCACAGTGTACATAAAATGCAGTATTCCTTGGTTTGAGCGTGGGATAAGTGACATTCATTTTGGTCGTAATTAAGGTGTATACAGTTTATTTCTGGTCAGCAATTCACCTAAACGAAGCGGTGAACAGTTGACGTGAATAAATAGAATTTCAGTCTTCCACTTGGCCTAAAAATCTGCAATGGGTTTGTAATTTTGTTAACATCAAAAAAGAGATATCATGACACTAGTTGCCAGGAACTATGATCTATCTATCTATCTATCTATCTATCTATCTATCTATCTATCTATCTATCTATCTATATTCATGAGAGTTCTTAAATTTTAAAAAATGAGTAACTGTCAAATATGAATTTTTAGCAAAATAAAACCATCATATTTGCCTTCATAAAGTCCGTTAGATGACGAAACGAGTCGGTTAAAAATTTAGTATAGTTTTCCTCTTGTTTTCATACTCCGTCTATGTATATATATATATATATATATATATATATATATATATATATATATATACATTACAATTTTATTCACTCATTTACATCCATGTTCCACACTTAGCGATGTTTCGAAATGTACTGAAAGACTCTTTTAAAAGAATTTAATCTAGGACACTCTTATGTAAATCAGAAAAGTATCATGTATTTGTGTGTGTGTGTGTGTGTGTGTGTGTGTGTGTGTGTGTGTGTGTGTGTGTGATCCAAGTCCTACTGTTTTAGAATTATGTTATTTGCAAAATAATCCAAACCGCAATCAATTGCTTAAGGTTCCAAAATGTCTCTTTCTCTTCTCTATCTTCTTCTGTTCTACTTTCCTGCAATACTCAATCGATCGGCCATATTTGTCTTGGACACCGACAAACCAATGTCTTCCGACTTTCTCTACGTTTGCTAAGATTCTCGACGCCTCAGCGTTTTCTATGGTGAACTCAAGGAGACTCAGTCCCTCCAGGCTGTGAGTAACGCTACCGACACCACCTCTCCCACTACTTTTCCTACCACCACCGCTGCTGTATCCACCTCCACCAACAAAACAGTCAAAGCCATGGTTGCCATTGTGGTGACCGCCAATGTCTCCCTAGTTAACATTGGTCTCTTTACATCAATTGCGGCAGAGACCCCTGGTGAATACGATTGGCCTTACTTAAACCTTTTCTCTCTGTACAAAATCTTCAGAATTAATCAAATATTTCTCAACCTGTGTTTCCGCCCTCACTACCACTCTGTCTTCTGGATGTGTTTGCGTTTGCGGTGACAATACTTTGTATGCCAAGCATTTATACGCCTGCGTATATTGATATTTGAACACTTTTGCCAGTGTGCAAATCTGTACACGTTTTAACACGTGTGTGTGTGGTCGATGGAGGCGTGTGTGTTTTGTGTACTTGAGTGTAACAGTGTTTGCCAGCATTCATATTTGCATAGTAAAAGAGTAAAAGTGTAAGTACATAGTTTAGTGGATGTGGCTAGTGGCGTTATTGTGACTGTATGTATGCGTGTACTGGGAATCATGTGTTATTTACATGCCTGTTTGCGAAGCGTGTGTTCTTCTTTGTGTTTTTATTTGGGTGCTAATGCACATTCTGAAATATCTATAAGCTTGTCGCTGAGAGCGTGGGTATATTTATTATAATGTCTTTTAGTGTGCATCAAAAACTTGTATATGGTTGTGCATGTGTGAATTTTAGTGTTATTGCATGTAGGTGTTAGTTTACGACTTTTGGTGTTAGAGCGTGTGAATAAGTTTGCATGGTTGTGAAAGTGTTGATATGTATGAAAGTTAATGATAATGTATGAGTGTGGGTTTTTATATGTATGTAAAGTGTGCGATGGATAAATTGTCGTCTAAATGATGCAAAAATGAAAATAACACTAACATCACATTTTAAATCACCATTAGACTCATTCAACTCTTTCCGAATCCTCTGCACTGTCCTCATATTGACACCTCGGAAGTTTTCGTAGTGGAGGTTCCGGTGCGAATGCCAAGCAGTACCGTATGTCGTTTCCGAATTTCTAGCGGAGTGAATTGCATCATAGTGATCTTTTCCTCACAGTCAGTGCCCAACTCACCTTCTATATTGTGCAATCGACAAAATTGAAAACAAATAAAGCGCATGCGCGAAATTAAAAGTACAAAATGGCGACAATTTAACCCTCGCTACCTGTATATTAGTAATAATTTCGTGTGACAGAGGCAGCGGAGTATTTATACATTTTATGTGTGTTAATATGCAAGTTCACATGTATATTTTAATGCTTGGATGTAAGTGTATATATAATTCATACCACCATACTACCCATCAAAATTTATTTATGTATTGATCGGAATTTCTATCAAGAAAGAGGGTCTTGGAAGTTGCACATACTATTTTAGTATGTGCAACTTCCAAGACCCTCTTCTTCTTTCTTTCTTTCTTTCTTTCTTATAATTTTTAAAATATTCAGTAGACAATATTATTTTATTTATCGTAACTGTATTTTTGCCTTACTTGTTCGATACCGTGCATCTGAAAAGTTGGGACTTTTTATTGCAGTCGCCTTCGCTTCTCGGCCTTTTGGCCTTGAGTGGCAATGACCAGCTAAGGCAAGCTTTGTGTCCAAACCCTTGCAAGCTAGGGCAGGGTAAATTTTAACCAATGATCCAAATGGAAACGCTCGGGTTTCTCACGTTAAATAACTTACCTTGTGTCGCATCCTAACTCATGGGGAGTAGGCTATGAATACCTCGCTTCTCGGCTTTTTGGCTTGAGACCAAATTGTAGTATCTGTTCTTAGATCTCTCTCCACTTCTATCTGTCCTTCCTCCTGTCATTCATTTTCTTACTGAATCCAAGTAGTCTCTTTCCACTTCTTTCCATGCGATCAAAACGATGAGTAAGCCATTATTTATGAGATATTGACAGGACGTAAAGATCGTGTTAACTAAGGAAGGGAGGCACAAATAGAATTACAATAGGATAATATAGGTATAATATGTAAATCTAAAAGTGTTTGGGGGCATTAGAGAGTGACTAGGTGTTGCGTTCTTTTTCTAACTCTAGTATCACGAATAAGCACAAAAACTTCGACCACCAGACAGAGAAGACAATTACGGTAGGGTTGAATGACTCAAAAAGAAACATTGTCAAGGCGATTTGGAATTCTGAGCCAATTAGTTTTCGCGCAGATACCCTTGGGGAAAGTTAAGTCTATTTTCCTCCCCTCAGGCTAAGGGTTAAATAGCATAGATCTATCTATCTATCTATCTATCTATCTATCTATCTATCTATCTCTGTTCATATCTTTCTATGTATATATCTTAGTTTGTTCATATTTTACAATCTATCTATCTATCTATCTATCTATCTATCTATCTATCTATCTATCTATCTATCTATCTCATTCTCTTCATATCTATCTATCTATCTATCTATCTATCTCTGTCTGTTCATATCTTTCTATATATATATCTTAGTTTGTTTATATTTTACAATCTATCTATCTATCTATCTATCTATCTATCTATCTATCTATCTATCTATCCCAGTTTGTTCATATCTATCTATCTATCTATCTATCTATCTATCTATCTATCTATCTATCTATCTATCTCAACGTGTATGTATATATCTATAGATGTAGATCAACATTAATAGATTCAGATGAACATACATACATGCAGAGTGTGTCCGTGTGTGTGTGTTCGGCACGTCGATATGGCTTCTTGGAATTCAAATATCACGTTCCTGCGAATAGAAGGCCAATGTCAATTCAAAGAAACCTTCTATTATATTAGATACTAAGATATTTGTTGTATCTCACCGAACCTTTTGTTGATCCCACATATGTATACACTCATGAAGTTGGTACGACTAGCCAGAACTGCAATCAGATGCGTTCCAACTACACGAAAGCCGAGAAAGTTATTAAAAGAACAATTCACAGTCAAAATACATTGACTATATAACTATCTAAAATTCATTATCTATTATAAAATGTTCAAACCATCCATCCTAATAATAACACTTGTATAAAAAAAAATCAACGATACAAAAGTTCCATGTCATCTATTTACTTAAGTGTCCGTTTGGAAACTGCGCCTCTGATCATGACAAAACGTTCACATACATTGGTCTTACCACCAAATCTCTTTCTCGCCAACTTTCTCAACAAAGTGCATCTTGTCATAACAACAAACATCTACTTCAAATCTACGCAGGATCCTAGTTGACGATACTATAATTTTCCATCATTCATATAATAAGAAAATTTTTTTTTAAATAGAAGATAACTACATTAGAAGAAAATTGCTACCCATAAACAAACCAGGCTTCAGCAACGACGCTCGCGTGCTCACGTGATTATGACCTTGACTAAAAGTACGCCACGTGACATCACGTCACGCATTAAATACTGGCAGCATCTTTAATTAACCGATTCATTCCTAAACTATTTTTCAACGGATAATTAATATATATATTTTAAGACATTTTTTTATGTTTAACATTCTTTTTATAGATACAAATATTTAAGTAAATACTCTGTTTATAATAAACAGTATTAAATAACATTTACCGACCTGAATGTCCGAGAAATTTTCATAGAAAATATTCGTCCTCCGACAGGAATCGAACCTTTATCCTATACGGAACCGTCATTTAGCCTGACGTGCCTTTAACACATTGGGCCACAGAGGAGCCTTCGGTTAGCAAGGTAGAATTTACTGTATTTAAACTTAAATGTTATTTAATACAGTTTATTATAAACAGAGCATTTACTTAAATATATGTATCGATAAAAAGAATGTTAAACACAAAAAAATGTCTTAAAATAATTGTCGGACATTGTCCATTTCATAATATATATATATATATATATATATATATATATATATATATATATATATATATATATATAACATTTAAGTTTCTTACCAGATGATGACCGATGGAACAGTCGAATGTGCTAGGATACCTTCATTCACCCAATTCATCTATGGATTATTCATTCACAGATTTATATGTGATGAAAAGCGATTTGGCCTGAAAGCAAAAAAAAAAAAAATCTTACATTGCCTGTTATATTCAACGAAATATCCTCATATAATAAAACCTAACGCTTAAATACGTTATTTTAAGATATATATATATATATATATATATATATATATATATATATATATATATATATATATGAATAATTGTGTATTTAGACAGCAATCCCTCTTTAATACATGTTTCGCTGAACAATATTGACAATATACTTTTGTTTAATTTTTGTATATATTTCTTGTATGGCATAATGGATGTAAAATTTATCTAAACGTTTACTGATTCAGATCGCTTTCGGTTAAAATGTTAGCCATTGTAAATGATTTTGTTATAGTATAATATGTAGTGTATAAGTCCTGTTGTAGACGGTACAAAGGTTGCTGAAAGTTTGCATTTTTTTTTTAATCATATTACACCAAGCAAGGCGATACTGCTACTAAAACGTACGGAGTTACTGGGATTGAAAGTGAATGAGAAGACTTTAGAAGGAGCCGGAAACCATATTCTAAACACAAAACAAGGGATAAACCTCTACTCCTGTTCAATAGACTGGGAAGCAGTGTGAACCGAGTGTTAGGTGAACCTGTTTACTACCATTCTTAATTTCCAAATACGACCAGTACATTGTGTCTGTTTTCATAATTGATATAATTAAGGATTTGTTTTTAGTTTTGTTTTATAATAAGTATTTCCATAACTTTTAAACGATTTTTACAGTTTAGGGTAGGCATCACATTTTGTATACAATTTTGGTACAATTCCATGTTGCCTTATATGCGTCCTTGTATATCAAATAATATACTAATGTATAAGATTATGTGTTTTTTAATTTATAGTAAATATTCGTGTCTGGTTCTATAAGGGCTTGCGTCACTGTTGTAGATGATGATCGTTTCTATTTAGTTATCTGACCATACACATATATGCGTATAAGTGCAAACGAATTCATCTGGAAAATGCGCCTGAACTTTGGAATATTTATGCGTTCGTATGAGCAGTTATATATGTGTATTTGTGACTATATCTGCATGCAGGATTGAAATGAAATATATAACTGCGCATGCGTGGTGTGTGCACACGCATCTTTTTCTCGTTGTTTGGTATGCTTTTGTTTTTGTTTTTTTTTGCGTTTGTGTGTATAAAATATGCATGTATGCGTATATAAAAAGCGAGAAAGAGAAAATAAGAAAGTAAGTCAGAGAAAAAAAGCAGAAAAAAGACAGTGTGTTTATATATGTATTAAAGAAAGAAACTTGAAAGAAAGGGAAAAAAGAAATAGAGGTTTCTTCTTTGTATTTCTAAAATAGAGAGTGAAAAGTGGAAAAAGGGTAATCGAGAACGAAGAACGTGAAAACGAGAGTGTATGTGTATTCATGTGTGCGTAAGAGAGAGAATATGTATGTGAGGAAGAGTAAGTGAGAGTGATTGAGAGAGAAAGAGGGAAAGTGAAAGAGAGAAGAAGTGGCCATGAAGTGTACAACAAGGCAGGAAGCCAATTATACACGTATAGAAAGAATTGGATGGGGAGCGCCCTCTTTGTTTGTTTGCTCAAATTGACTCTGCGGTTTTCGCTAAGCTGCATGAGTCTTGAGAAGGTCCAAAAACCTAGTGCGACAACGAGCCACCAGCGTCATTACCGCGCCCAATTCCTACGACCGCTTAGTCAAGAGTCAGGCTGCTGGCTGTCAATAACTCGCATCAGCAGACCCTAACCCTGCCACGGAAAAGGAGGAGACTATACGTATTAAGTCGATATGAATATTAAAGCCGAAATTAGTTAAGAATGGTCTGAAAGGACGCATCCCAATATTTACAGTGGATGCGCTGAAATAGTTCTTTTGAACCCAACAAACAGATCACACCTGTTCCCGAACCGGTCACACGTTCGCGAGAATAAGGGGACAGTTTGTTCAAGTAATTAGAGATTGTCTTTATATAAAGCTTTCCGATTGTATACGGATCTTCGTCGAAAACACCCCCAGACCGGGCGGACCATGTTGAGCAAACAGACCCATCGGCTGTCAACTCCTTCTTCATGTTTTTAATCTAAGATCTGTTAGGATTTGCTGATTGCTTCTGGAGGCTTAAGTATTATGAACTGATAGTCGTCAACTAAACCCCATCTGTCAAACGGATTAGAAGTGTCAACTGCACAATACATGCTTCTCTTCACGATTTTTTGAGAAGCAATGTTTAAGCATTTGCAATATGATCATCGTGAAAATGATGGCCATTTATTTTCGACTCCAATGTACATTCGCATACAAGTAAGCGCTCTGACACACGTATGTGTTTTTACGGCTGACAAAAATGTGTTTTTATGTGTAAGCCTGTGTCTATCGCTAACATTGTGCATATGTAAGGAAGCATTAAACATATATATATATATATATATATATATATATATATATATATATATATATATATAATATATTTATTTAAAAATATGATTCCAAATCGCGACATAAGAAGTCCCATGTTTCAAACAAGGGAAAACTTAAATGAAATTGAGTTAAAATAAGCTCTGTTCCATCTTCAAGCGAAATAAAAAAATTTCGCTTGAGGATGGAACAGAGCTTATTTTAACTCAATTTAATTTAAATAATTATATTGAAGTTTTCGGCTCTTGTTTTTGAAACATGGGACTTCTTTTATGTCGCGATTTGAATCATATTTTTAAATAAATAATTATATTTATGCTCTATTTTGTATCGAGCACTATTTTTTAAAAATAATAACTAAAATACTAAGGGACTTTGGATTATTTACCTAACCAGTTCCTTCCTATTTTCTATATATTTTCACACACACACACACACACACACACACACACACACACACACACACACACACACACACATATATATATATATATGAGAAAATGAGATAAAGAACAATGTAGGAAAGTCTCTTTGCTTATTCATTTCTATTCTCAATCTCTGATGAGGCCTTAATAAAGATGAAACATGTTAGATTGAGATTCTTTTCCTTCTTGTTCTTTATTTCATTTTATCATCTTGTCAGATTCCTATTCATATCTGATCTACATTTGATCTTCAGCTCATCTATATATATATATATATATATATATATATATATATATATATATATATCCAAGTATATAATTGGTGTATACGGAATGAATTCCAATAATCAACAATTACTATTCCTAAAAGAGTGCTCAATACAGAGTAGAGCAGATATAATTATTTATTTAAAAAAAAATTATAACATAAATATGTTATAAAATCACTACAAAAATAGCCATTTTGTTTCAACACCCTCGGTGTCTCATCAAGTGATGATGTTGAATGTAAAATAAATGGTTTTAAAAGTTTCAAATTAATTAACGATCCTTCGCTAGGGGAAAACATTGTTACAAAAGCTAGAATGACCAATCAAAACACAAGTATAGGAAAATTCAAAAAGCTTGACAACGAAGTCATGTTATAATAGCTATTCAGATCTTTAAAATACGGGTAATATTAAAGAAGAATTTATTCTAACCAATAATAATTAAATTATATGATAAAATTGGATATTAAAATTAAAAATTGCCAATTTTAAAATCCAAATTTAATCACT